CAATCGGGGTGTGGCTTGCTAGGGCAGCCCTGTATATAGGGAGTTGCCCAGCAGAGCAAGTAAGTGAAGCCTTGACCAGTGGAGGTGCAGGGCTGGTTCCTGGAGAAGCACCTTTGGGAGAGCAGCTCTGGGCAGGTGCTAGAGAGGGAGGGTCCAGCCTGATACCTGCCAAGCTGCGGCCTTGCTTCAAGGGCCAGGAGGCTGCAGAGGGTCACAGAGGAAATGGCCCAAGGAGGAGACAGGGGAGGACAAGACTGCTGCCACAGGGTCCCTGGCTTGGACACCACCCTCTGCACCATGTCTGGCCACCATTGTTTTGTGGCCCGCAAGGACTGTGGCTTGCCCCTGGAGTGAGGGGCTAGAATAGATCAAGGCTGCAGTTGGCCATGGGTTCTAGATGAAGGACTCCAGAGTGGCACTGCTGGAGGGCAGTGTCCCAGAGAGGACGCTGCGGGCAGAGGAGCGACGCAGCTCCAGAGCAAGAGCATGGAGCATGGGCAGGTGAGAGACCAGCACGCAGGAGGTGCCCTGTTGCAGAAGGACTAATTCCCCAGACCATCCAGCAGGAGGTGCCATGCCGATGAGCGCTCAACCCCGTGACCGTGGGACAGAGCTGACAAACGGGACTGCCCAAGCCAGGATGCTCACCCTGAGCACTCGAGCTGCGAAAGCCAAGGAGCTAGCAGGGCAGGTGCTGTGTAGAGCAGGCACAACTTGCTATAGGCCCAAGGGGCATGCCAGGGTGTCAGTAGAACTATGGCAAGTTTGGCTGGGCTGTAGGACACTAGCTGCTTGGCTGGGCGGCTTTAGAGTCGCCAGCAACAGCTCTGCAGTATCCTGGCTAACCCTCACTGGCTCGCGCTTCATGCCTTGGGGGCCCATTGAATTCCAAGTGCCATTGTGTGCTAGTGTGTGGCTCTTCTTTCGGGGGAGGGCTTTGCCTACATGGTTCCTCCTGTTGCTGTACCACTGGCGAGCTGGTGACTTATTCACTGTCTCTTCCATGGTGCTGACTGGATTCTCTAGAGCGCAGCAGGCCAAGAAAATATCTTGGTGGGGAACAGACTTCGGGCTCTTGCTCTGATCTAGCAAACGGACAGGACCTCCGGCCCACCGGGGCCCCAAACCTTAGGGAGGGACTGTGGCCTGCTCATGTCCCCTGAGCAGAAGCAGTTCTGAACCCGGGCGTAGTGCGGCTCCAGTGGCCTCAAGTGTCACTTGGGAACCTTACATCCAGGTTGAGCATTGCGCCCGCCCTCCAGAGAGCTATGCCCCTGTGGCGCTGCCTTGCATTTCTGAGCCACCCCATGTGCATGCCCAGCTCAGCAGGAGCAGCCCTGTGTCGGGGGCCCCAGGGCTAGGAAGAGGGCGTAGCATGGGGGGAGAAGCTGAGCTAGCTCAGTCTGTCATTGCCCGTCCACCCGAAAGTTGGGGCCCATCCAAATTTCTACTCCGAGCTACGGCACTGCTGTGAACTTGTGCCCTTGGCAGGGTTTGAAAGACGGGGGGAGAAAGGGAGAAAATTGCTGGGCCCCTGACCCCCAACTCCATGCTCCCAGAAGGGGCGGGGCCTCAGGTGGAAGGGGGGGAGTCAGGGGTAATCAGCCCTCAGTGTTACCCAGAGCAAGCTGCACTGGTCCCCCCCATACCCTAGTCAGCTCGTAGCATCACCCAGGGTATGTCTACACTACAGAGCTAGTTCGAACTAACTTAGTTCAAATTAGTTCATTCGAACTAAGCTAATTCGAACTAACGCGTCTAGAACTAAAAACTAGTTCGAATTAGCGTTTTGCTAATTCGAACTAGCATGTCCACATTGAGTGGACCCTGAACAGGGCTTAAGGATGGCTGGAAGCAGTGCCGGCAGGGCATCAGAGAAGGACTTAGAGCGTGGAGATGCTGTCTCAGGCTAGCCGAGGGCTGCGCTTAAAGGGACCCGACCCCCACC